GACTAGTGGGTCAGAGCAGGGGGGCTGGGAGCCAGGACTCCTGGGTTCTATCCCAGCTCTGGGAGGGAAGGGTGGGAACAGCCCCCCTCACTCCATGGCCTGTCCCTCTCCCCCTCTCTCCAGAAGTCCAGGTGCACACCCCTGTTCCCAAGACCACAGAGACCCTGGTGTGCGCCCTGGGCCTGGCTGTGAGCATCATCGCGGGCACCATCCTCATCATCAAGGGCATGAAGATGAACGCCGCCCGCAACCCACGGGGCCCCTTGTGAGTAGCCGCTGCCCGGGGAGGACACCCACTGCACCTGCAGCCCCTGGGCCCAGACAGCACCCACTGGGGAGACCCCCCCACCCGCTATGCCCCCCCAGCCAGCCACAGCCCCTGGGACCACCCAGCCCCCCCGTGTCAAAGGAAGACTCCCTGGGGGTGCCATGGAGTAGCCCTGATCCCTGCCAGCTTTGCGTCGGGACCCAGGGCTCCTGGTAACTGACCCTCTTTGCCTTCGTGAGACCCACTCACACACACCACCGCGCTGCCCACAGCGTCCCTGCTCTGCTCTCATCAGTGCCAGCTGCTGTACCCAGGATGGAGCCCCCGGACCTGTAACCTGTGATAAGCCAACGCGCTAGAGACTCACTGGGGAGCTGGCCCCTCTGGCTGCCCCCGCACCCCCCTGCTGGGCTTGGGGGGGGCGCCTATCCAGGGTGAGGGCTCCTGCCCTATGGGGGCTGGGAATGGGGGTTGCCCCCCGTCAGGGGGCAGCAGGGCCCACGGGGTTGATCCAAACCCCGTTGCTGTCATGGTGAAGGTTTCTCTTGACTCCAGTGGGCACTGGATTGGGCCCCGAGCCCAGCCCCTATTGGCCAGAGGCTGCTGTCAGTCACCTCAGGTAAAGCACCTCCAGCCATTACCCAGAAGGCTTTGGGCCAGATTCGGCCATTCCAGGTCAATGGGTTCCCATGGGGCAGGATCAGGCTTATGGCTGGGGGTGGGGCAGCTCCAGCGCCCAGCTAAAGGCCCCATGGCACCTGTGTGCAGCTCCCCCAGGGTCCAGCCCTGCTGAGCCCAGCGCCCAGAG